CCCAGGGAGGTGGTTGAGTCCCCATCCCTGGATGTGTTTAAGAATAGGGTGGATGATCTACTTGAGGATATGGTTTAATGGGGATTAGGGATGGTTGGACTCGATGATCTCTAAGGTCTTTTCCAACCTAGAAATCTATGAATCTATGAATGAATACCAATCCCAGAGGAATGTCACTCGTTGAGCCGTTGACCACAACTCTTTGAGTTCAACCATCCAGCCAATTTCTAATTCTTCATTTAGTTTCAGGTGAAGAGAGGCCCTAGCTAGCTTTTGAGCTCATTGAACATATTGAACTTGGACATTAAACATTGTTTGAGGTAAAATACCTTACCATGGTTGTCTCTGCAATGGATCCAAAGCTGTTTATAAATATGTTGCATGTGACATTAACTGGAGGCCCTGTAATATAGAAAAAACACCAGTCTCTGTTCCAGAACCATTGCTTATTGAGTGACTGTAAAATATAAACCAGTATGAAATCATGTTTATTGACTTAGGTGGAAATAATGGTACGTTCACAACTTATTTAATGAAAAATTCAATTGAATGGTTTCTAATAATTTTCCTTTTGATTTTTCTCGAAGGTACACTACTTGACTGGCCAGTTCTAGCAATAAAAAGAAAAGAGAGAAAGTTCATTATAATCTTGCATAGATGATTCTACATTAAAAAAAATCAACATCCCATTTGAAATATATAGTAAAAAATATTTTTATATGAATTTCAGTAAGCAATGTATGTCACTTCTTACAACAATTAGGGGAAAGTGACCTTTTTCTCTCCAGGCAGCTGCTGCCTTTAACGTTATCTGTCTGGTAACAGAAATAAATTATTGCTGCTCTTATCTCTACTGCTTACAGGAACAAATGTGGATAAGAAAGAATAACGTAGATTCTATTCTCATTTCTCTTAAATCCACAAAATGGTTAAGAATCCATTTAAATTGAATTTTCTGTAGATATGGGTCTTCAGTCAACTGTTGTTCTGTCTTATCTTGCATTTGTGAAGCATCAGTAGTGGCAGAGCAGTTATTATGATAACTGAACAATGAATCATCTCTTAATGGAAAAGGTTTTAAATTATTTCTCTGAAAGTCTCTGTAAAAATGGCATTGTGGTAAAGCATGCTAATTTCTCAATTATTTTTTATCAGTTTCAGTCTGTGTACAGTGGAAACAAGGCGTTTCCATCACAAGATTTTTCTGTCACCTTCCTGCACCTTGATGCTATTATATCAATAATTCAGTTCAGCATTGAGAACCTGATTTCTTTTTGCAGGTGTAAGCAGTCCCTAATAATGAAAGATCTGTATCTGGAATTTGAGGACTGGTCTTACAAACCCTTATGCAATGTTTCTATTTCAGGGTTGGTGAGGTAAGAAGCTGCTGTACCACTGCTGGTGGTTTCCAACTAGCAAAATCTCACGTGACCGATGAACTTGATATTAAATATTTGAAGAATCAGAACATCCATTAAAAATTCTGCCAACAGGATACAACTTGGAACGTCCAGTTTTCTTTCCTCAAGGCAATAATTGTTTTGAAGTAGTGTATGGCAATTGCAAGAAAAAATCGCTACATGTACTTCAGTCATTATAATACACAAGACTACACCTTTGGAGCAGAATTCTCAGGTAAGGAGGTATCACTCTGCAGTCACTTTGGTGTTATTTTCACTTTGATACTTGGTTAATTTTTTAAAGCTGTTGAGCGTATCCAATACTTCTGAGAATTCAGTGAAAGCTTGACATTGGCAACTCCTGAAAAGGATCAAGGGAAAAAGAAAAAGCAGGGGAGGTGGACAAAGGCAGACTCACTAAAAACTGTCAGGGAGAAAATTGTACTTCCTGGCTATGTTAGATAATTTGTTTGCAAGGCAACTCTTCTTTCAAACGGTTTTATGTTGTAGTTCTTGTCATAATTTCAAATTTTGTATGAAAGTGTCTTGTTTAAAATAGTACTGTGTTTTAAAGTGTAAGTTGGCTGTATCAACATAGTTGCTTTTATAAAGAAAAAAACCCTAAATCACAACACTGATGCTTAATTTTAAAAGCAGTATTAAAAAATTATAGTTACAGTTAGTTAAAAAGAGAAAGGAGAATCTAAAAGCAGCTTGCAGATAGTTTAGAGACTAATTAAAGATACTGTGCTGAGAGTAAAAATTAAATTCCCCAAACACAGTCAAAAAGAGTCTTAAATTAAAACTAGAAGTCATATTCAAACACAGGAACTCAGGCAAGTTGAACATAGACTAAATACAAGGAGAAAAAACATAAAGCTGAAACTCACTAAAGACAGAAAAGCTAACAATGATAACCATCTGCGAGGCGTTAAAAATAGTATCCTTCCAAGATCTGGAAAGTGAAGTCAAGAGAAGATAATTAAGATATAAAAGTACCCATGAAAGTGAAGAAGGTCAGAGCAGAAAAACTAAATGAAGTCTTTGTAGCAGCATTTGTCTTCAACTGCTACCTGTGTCAAATACTGCAGCTGTTCTGATGGAAGGTTTGTATGAGGACTGTAGAAGACATTTCAGGCTAAGTGAACAGGAACAAACTGATAGGGTGAGGTGATGTCAAGCCAGACATTATAAAAATCTTTGCAAAATTGCGGAAATATGAATGATTGTGGGTCAGCTATCACCTGTGTCAGTTTTGTTATCAGTGGAAATGTGAACCATGCCCAGCAAATATAATTTGAATAAAAAAAAGCAAACCAGACTTCAGGTATGATGATGGATTATATTGACAATGAACTTTATCCCTTTAAACCTTATCTCTCTACCAGCCAATTTGGTAGAAATTATGAGAACTGTTATGATTAAGAGATATAGATTAATATTATTTTTGCTGAAATAGCATCTCTCAGATATACTGAAGCGCTCTGAAAGAGCTGATAATCTTGTGGACAAAGGCAATATAATTCATTTAAATAAATATTAATTTTAATAACAATATACAATTAAATTAATTTAAATAGTTTATTTGGTGTTTCAAAAACTTTTCAAGACAATCTTTTGTCAAAGACTTTTTAAGGATATTAGTCTCGTTGAAGTGAAAGACAGTCCTCTTATATGCCTTTTGCTTTATAGTTATTTAATGTTAGGGATAAATAGCGAGGTGATTGCTGGTGAGTTCCCTCATGGATCTGCACTGAATCTTTGTAGTTCAATATTAATGACCTAGAAAAGAAGATGTAGCAATATAATTTTGCTTCTGGTATAAGATTATTTAGGATGGTTGTATATAAAGCTAACTGCAAGGAGGTGCAGAAAAATCACAAAATATAGAGCTATCAAACAATAAAATGCTTGATGAAATTCTGTGTCAGTCAAATGCCAAATAATCCTTACTATGCATTCCTACTGATGAGCTCCAAATTAATGATTTCCATGAAGGAAAGAGAAGCATGCTCTGTAATCAATAAAGATAGGAGAACGCAAAGAATTACTTTTTTAAAAAAATGGACTAGTGTACAAGTAGATAATGAACTTTCGTCTTGAATATTTCAAAATTTCTCATGTGTGCAATTCAAAAGGATATATTAGGGATAAAAGAGATGTCAAGAAGTCAAACAAAGATCACCAGTTCTATCAAATTTTGCCACATAAAAACAGCTTAAGTAGAACAGGACTCTTCACATGGAAAAGTATACAAATCTGTAAAGATCAAAAGGAAGTAGTAATTTTCCTCCATTTTTCAATATGTCACACAACAAGAAAATCAGTGAAATAGCTATCAAATTCAAAGCAAACAAAAAATGATACTTTTCACTCTTCCAAAACACAAATATTTTATTACCATAGAATATCGAAAAGGCGAAAAGCATGAACAGCTTCCAGAAGTGATCAGAAGAGCACTAGTTTTCTCAATTAAGTCCTGGTTCCTAAACTAGTGATTGTTGAGTGCTGTTTGGCAATACCAGGACAAGGAAAACTTTATATTTTCCGGTGTAAATCCCAATATTTCCACCTTCTAGATTGCAGTCAATGGCGAAATCTGGGGTGTGTAGATTTAAAAATATAACACTTCTTCTCTCTCAGGTTAATTCTGAGCATCTTGAGGCCATGACAATTTTTACGCATGGATTGCATAATTGTGTACAAATTTGAAAGGTAGTGAAGTATTTTCTATGTTTTCAGGAACAGACATAGTCTGGGATCTGAAACAGCTGAATAAGAGAAGCACATTGCCATAGGTTTGATGTACTGGAAATAAGAATATTTTGCAACTGGAACAAAGGTTCTACAAGAGGTTTTAATTTTGTTTTATTCCATAGCTAAATAAGCACCAACAGTCTTCTCTATTATTTCTGTTGAACAAGAACAGATATGCAAAATTTCTTATCCAAAAGCAGAGAACTCAGAGAAAATATAAAATTATGTGCTACAGACCAAGATTAATTATGAGTAAACAATGGTAGTTAAAAATCTTGTCTACATAGGAATTTTATTGCAAGAACAAATGATTTTAAATGATTGTCTGAGTTCTTTTATTAGAACTCATTCTGTTTAAAACTATTGCCAGATTAAAAGCTCAAAAAGGCATTAAGCCCCAGCACTTTTTCTAAGACTAATAAAACTAACCAGAACGTGGCAAAGTCACTTAAGGAGATACTTATTCTTAGTGATAGATCTGAATCATTCTGGACAGATTTGTTCAAACTGCATAGCTGTCTAGAAGATTTAGAATGTGCAGTTTTTAAAAAAGAACAATGTCAAATTAAGTTTTGTCTCTTTAAATTTAAACCGTTACAAAACAAGGCTCTAAGTCTTTTGAGTTATACTTTCAAGAAGTACTGTATCGAACTTGTTAATCTCTAAACCATCTGCCTGTTCTTCACTGTAGCCCCATCAGAAGATTGTGATTGCATGGTGTCCATGACACAATCCAAAATCCAATCCCTAAATCAACTGCTAAATTGTAAGGTCCTCGTTGTTAAACACTTGTTTGTAGGACATCAGGAGACTCAAAGAAGATAAACTGAAGTGCTTAGACTTTGCCTGAGGTCTTCTTTTGCCCAGCACAGCTTTACCTTAGGTTGAACCTGCAGTTTGCATGCTAGAGAGTGTACTGTGGCAACAAGTCAACGTTACTGTAATAAGGAACAAAATAATTTAAGATCAACCAGTCATATAAGAAAGTAATTTTAGAAATACGGTGTTTTGCATTACTTTGCAAATGTTGTTTGATACATTAACCCTCTGGGAAGCCAGACACTGGAACATTCTTCAAAGTAGTTCTGACAAGGAAAGTTCAAGGGACTTATTCTGTATGGTCATTGGGGATAGTGATCACTGTTGTAAATATTTTAGCAACATGTTTAAATTTCCAACGCATGTTTATCACTCTCTGAGAAATATCAGCGCTGCTAACTTATTAAAAGCAAAGCATGTCCAACTGCAGTAAATCCTGGGTAATAGGTTTATTAACAACTGTTATTACCAAGCCATAAACCAACTGTTTATGGCTTACTGATGAGGAAGTAATTTGACAAACTACTTGCTTGGTCCTTATGAATCAGTCTGAGCAAATTCTGGCAAAACCAGCAAATAGCAATGGCTTTAAAGTCAGAAGCACTTAAGTTTCTGGGACCTGGAGATGTCAAAAAATTATAAAATTTAACGCTGAATAAGAATTAAGATGGAAAGGCAGTGACAGATGACTTAGAGAAAGAAGATCTGTCTGCTTGAAGGGAAATTTTTTGTAGTAAACATGGTGTAAAACCTGCCTTGTAGTGGAATGTCTTAGACTGAAGAAGATAGGGATAGGAGGAGGCAGCTGAGGCAAAGTAAGAATAATATAATTTTTAATCACAATAAGTTTATTCTTTAAAAAAAATTTATATTCTGCAGAATTTAAAGACTGACAACTTGATTTAAAGATTCAGAAATAAATATTATTGGAACTCTTTGCATTCTAAAAAAGAATAGTCAAATTCACCTAAGCTTCCCAGACTGCAAAAGTTAGAATGGGTGGTATTTGCCTGTATAATAGTTTGTATATTTGTATAATAATGTAGTTTGTAGAGTCCTTCATTAGATACTCTACTTTAGCATGCTTGAGTATGGATGAGATAGGTGACGCCAAGACCTTCAGAAGATGTAATCGTTGCATTTGCAAACATTGGACTTTCAATCTTCTTTGAAGCTCCTTCGTTTTGTTTGAATCTTCTTTGTAACAAGTGCATAGAAGGCACACACCAAGAGACAATTCCAGGTGTTTTGAACCTGAAGTTTCAGTGGAATACTGAGAATAAGGAAAGGAACAAGAGGAAATGTGGTCCTTTTTGCCATTTCAAAGCAGCACTGGGACACAGGAGTGAGGAGTCTAGTGTCACAGGAGAATTTGGTGATAGGTTCGGTAACTAAGATAAGCTCTCTTGCATTGGCTCTGATAGTCATGTCATTAACACACTCTTCCCTTTAGTTAGGATCAGAAAGGTGTGAGGGTTTGGCTTCCCTTTCACACAACATGGTTTCTGGAGTGCTTTAGGCTATAGTAGTCCAAGGAGGGAATTTGAATCTATTAACAAGCATTTCAGAAAAGAAAAAAATAACCAACTCTTATTAGACAATTCAAATCTAGTTATAATCTAAATTTTCAAAAGGTCTGCGTTCAAGCAGCTTTGAAAGTGACAGGAATAGAGCATATTGTTACTGAAATGAACTGTCATAGCAAAGAAAGGCAAAAGAAGGCACTTTTTTTCAGTAAGTGTACTTTTTCGTTTTCGTATTTGTTCCAGAAACTACATTTGTGTGAGAATAAAAACTGAAGTATGGAAAACCTGGAAGTTTAGGTTTGAAATTACCTTTGAAATTTGGTCTGATCCTTGCATCGTAGCCGGACATCCTACCCATGAGCTTATCCAGGAAATCAGATGGTGACATTGGCATGCTACGAGATCTTGCACTGTCTGTTTCCTTCGTGGCCACCAAGCTAATAGCAAAGAAAACCAAACAAACAGAACAAAACATTTTGTTAGGGAAACTTTAATTTTACACAATCACTTAGATCATTTTTGTATGAACAGAAAATAAGAAAGCTAAGATTGCTGTTCAAGCTAGTTGTGCTTCAAAAATAGTAGTAAAGAAAGGGAAACTGTAAGTTCATTTTATAAATATCATTTTATATAAAAATTTTATTTAGCTTAGCATAGTTATAGCTTGCTGTTACCTCTTCCTCAGGACTTCAGGAGATTAGTAACATTTCCAGTAAACAGCAATCAATCCATTATCACAGAGTTAAATAATGTCATCTACACAAATAGCTGCACATGTGGAATGTCATAATTTGAAGTCTACTCTAAGATTGGTCTGTTTAACTGGATGTAGTGTAATAGAAGCCTTGATCAGAAAAAAAAAAACAAAAAACAGTAAGGATCTTTAATAGGATAATACTACTATCACCGATTTTTGTTCAGCCAGTGTTTTGTGTTGATGTTTAAACATAATACAACAAACCAGTCTCCTGGCAAATGGTATTCTTTAACATTGTCTTAGAGGTTCTTTTTCTATTAAAACAGAAGTGACTGCTGTGGTGGAAAAAAAAAAGAAAACCTTACCAAAGGAACTATCTTAGGGCAAAATTTTCATCTCAAGGCCACATGGCAAACGTCATCTTCTATAGCCTCCTATCCATACATATGCAGAACTCCCACTGACATTCTAAAGTTTTCTCTGTACGTGCCAGGAGAGAAGAGTATCGGCACTATGATCAGCCTTGTAGACCCAAAGAAAAAGTCTTTATTGTTGTGGAACTCAAGTATTACTCAAGTGCTAGGCAACACATTGAAAAAACAACAGTCAATAAAAGCGTATATAAATAAAATCATGAGTAACATTGTGATACACAGTGCAACTAGAATCATTCGTGGTTTTTGAAGTTTCAAAAAAGATAAAGAGCTTTTCCTGTTTGTGCTGACTTCTAGTAAAATTTATTGCAGAAAGATGTGAATCTCTTTTACTTACCCACTTCATTGTCTCCTGTTAATGCTAATATACTCTTTTAGAAGTGCTTAAATGTCTTCATTTAGAATTAAACACAGGGAATAACGTAAAATCCTTCGGAATTTTCTAACACATAGAAAAAACTATGCTGAACTTTGCTTGTAAAAATGGATTGAGTTCCAAAATGGAAAAATATGTGCAGGTATGTCTGTATCCAGATGTCATGTTAAATGCAGTCTGGAAATGTAATATTTTTCCTCCTAAGACGGTGTTACTCAGGACATGAAAAGTTGCAGTTTAATGGCAACTTACATTTAGAAGGTCTGCTAAAAATCTGTCTTCAAATTTGAAATTTAAGTTTCATATCTTAAATCAAAAGTTATTTCATATTAAATCTTGAGTGTTACAAATTTGGACATACACAGAATATGAACATAGAGACATCTAGAATGCTGTGGTTTATTCATACTTTAATTAAAACTGGCAATAAGGTCTTTCAATTGTAATATTAACTGAAATCAAGAGTTAAAAATTAACACTTCTGCTTATTTCCTTATCTAGTGTTTATTGTATTCTCTATGTAAGTTGATTTGCATATTTCTAGATTGTTGATAAATTTCTAAATTGTTGAATATTACTAAATTGTTCTGCATACTTAGGTATCTCTTTCAGTATTAACTTTCAGTAAAAACAGTTATTCAGTAGCTAACCTAGTTCTCTATTTCTTCCCGTACCTGGAGAATGTATTTCGCTTTTTGAGAAAGTAAGTACTTAACATATTCTTTTTCTAGTTCAATTTGAAATTATCCTATTGCCCTCTGACATAATTTTCATGATCAATCATTCTGAATGTATTTGGTTCATCACATTATTGCAACTCATATTAATTTGTATTTCTGTAAAGTATCATACACAGTTATAAAGCAAATAAAATACGAGTCCAATTACACTTTGCTGGATTTTATCTGTTTGCAAGGCAGAAGAATCAAGTTACTGTATATATACTGTATATACTGTATATATACATACATATATAACACTTCTATTCTATAGTGTATATAGAATTCCTACACTACATGACATATGCATATCTATATATCCTATATTTTTATTCTAGATAAAAATTTTCCAGAAAACAAAGAAAGAAAGGCCCATTGCTAGCTTCAATATTGATCACTTTCTCTGAATGGATAATTTATTTGTGCTTTTTTCTCTTCTCTGAACTTTTTAAAAATCTTTCTGTTGTTGCACTTGTAGATGTTGCTTTTAAAGGCTACCATGGAATACAGTACTTTGAAATTAAGGTAACATGCTGACAAGAAAAATAGTAATTGCTGTGACTATGGATCTTCTCAAAGTCACATTTATCTTTTTGTATGGTAGCATCATTAATATTTGCTTCCATTAGTCATTAAGTCTCAGAATATCTTGAATAATTGTATTGCCTCCTTCTGAAAATAATATATTCAGCATAATTAATACATTTTGTATAAGTAAGTTTTATTTTAGAAATCAGCTGTAATTTGTAATTAAATATTTCTTCAAGGAATGTTTTTCCTTTTTCTCAGCTTGGTGTATTACTGGGTGAAAGCAGATTGAGCACTGCAGAATTCTGCCTGTTCAAGTTGTCTTTAATCAAAAATATGTATTTAAAGAATACTGTTGGACAAATACTTTCATCAATCCAAGCTGACTTGTGGAATATTCTTCTAGTTAAAAAGGAGGAAAAGTTGGTAAGATAGTAAAACCTGAGTAAGGCAGTGGATTTTAAGAAGGTCTAGCTGGTAAAGTACGTTTTTTTCTGTTTATAAATTAACATAAAAACTAATTCTGCATGGTAAAGATTCTGCAGTTTTATTGTACCCTGCCTCTGAAAAATAAACCTCTGGCTAAGTGGTTAGAAAAAGTTCAACCCCATTCATGAAGTATGAATTTGGCTTCTTTAAGTGTTAATGTGTACATAGCTTCCTCCTCAATACACAACTATTGCATAATTCCAGGAATGGCTTTGCGCACCTCTAGAGGGAATTTACTTCGACCTGCTGCATTTTTTAAAAGAATTTCTGCATTCATTTATTAACAGATAGAATTATAAGAACTTATTATCAGCAAAAGTTTTATCTTGTGGTGCTTTCAGAATTAAGCTGCTATAAACTTGTGGTTAGTATAAAGTCATCATGCATCTCTAAAATTACCAAGGAAAGCTGTACATTTTTGTTCAAAGGTGGAGGCAGCGAAGGCTTCCCATTGCTGAAGTCTTTTACTGGAGAGAGATTATAACCTCCCAGTCTTCTGGTCTATTCATATTTACCAAGGAATGCTAACTCTGATAGTGATTGTGTGTCATTCCTGTGAGGTTTTGGTAAATATTACTAACAGTTATAAGGATATAAGCCATCTTCAAATTTCAGTCTGAAAGTAATACTTTATTTCACTTCCCTGAATGTATCCTGAACACCTTTACAATGTATATTAACCCTTGCCAAACAGTTAAAAATAAATTTGTTAACTAAAATAGTGGACAAAAATGAAGAAAAAAATGGAATATGTTGTCAAACAATATATTTGAAAAATCACTTGTGAACAACTGAATTTACATCATCAAAAGTTAGGGTCTGAATTTTTGTTCCAAATACGCTGTTATACAAAACGAGGCACGAACAGAAAACTACAATCACCAGGTCTATTATTACTCCTGTCTTTGGTGTATTCTGTCTGTTAAATCAGTGTTCACCTAAAATCTGAGGAGAGATGAGCTTTGTGTCATGCCTTGAAGACTGTGAAGTTGGAATTTCAGGGACCGAGATACGAAAACATCCTGAATCACAGCTCTATGACAGTGCATGACCTACCAAAAGTCATATTTAAGTCTGAAACTGTTAAGTCAAGCTGAGGACAGTTACAGTGGGCTATAAATGTTAGAGAGAAAGAAGCAGCCTGGCACAATCAAGATGAAGTTTCTCTATATCAGCACTCAGATCCTAAATTCTAGACAAAAAGCTACCGTAGGGAGTTGTAGTAGTAATGGTGTTCAGCACTGTCATCTATGATCTGGAAAGAAAATACGAAATCATTGATGGTTTCAAACTAAGAATTATAGAATCATAGAATCATAGAACGGTTTGGATTGGAAGGGACCTCAAAGATCATCTAGTTCCAACCCTGCTGCCATGGCACGGAAACCCTACACTATATCAGGTTGCTCAAAGCCTCATCCAACCTGGCCTTGAACACTTCCAGGGATGGGGCATCCACAACTTTTTGGGGTAAGGTGTTCCAGTGCTTTACCACTCTCAATGTAAAAAATTTCTTCCTTATCTCTAATCTAAATCTCCCTTCTTTCAGTTTAAAGCCATTGCCCCTTGTCTTATCACTATATCCCCTAGTAAAAAGTCCCTCTCCAGCTTTCTTGTAGGCCCCTTTCAGGTACTTGCAAAAAAATGACAGATATAAATATCGATGATGACAAGAAAATAACCTGATTTCTTAAGTTCAGTCCATTTAAGTAGAACAGTTTAAAACAGATGAAGAAAAGATATTAAGAGATATATGAATTGAGAACGTGGGCAGAGTTGGAGAGAGAGCAGTGAGTCTTAAAAAGGATTCAGAATTCATGTGGAACAACTCAGCACTGTTGTGGTAAAGTTCTTACTGCACTACTGTGTTATCTGTTGGTGTG